TTCTACTAGATTTGGCTCAGTTTCTTTCATTTTTTCTAGACTTTTTTCACTTCTTCTCTTGATGTCTTCTTGTGTTCTTTTTTGTACTTCATAAGTCTGCTTAGTTTCCTAGTTATTTTCTTTTAAAGGTACTCATCTTAATTTGTCATCATAGTAGTATGTTATAAATCTTGAGCTATTTAGTAAGTCTCTCTTATTTAAAAAATAAATAGTTGCATTTCTCATATTGTTTCTATTAGTATTTTTAAATATATGTAAAAATTTGACTCCTGTTCATTTAACTTGTTTCTAGAGAAGTATTTCATTAGTATACTCTGGTAAGTCAATTAGTCTTCTAGAATATCTGCTTCATGTTTTGAGTTTTTCAAAATTACTTGCTTTAGAAGTGATTCTTATCAGGTAATCTCCTACAAACAAAATATACTAGATCTTTTCTATCTTTTCTATATTTAATGATTCTGGTTCGAATTCTATCTCAGCTCTTGTTTTTCCATATATTTTTCTGATTATTTCTATAAATTTAACTCTTCTGAGATATCATACTAACTCAAAGACTTGAGGTCTTTTTGTCTAAATCAGAAGATCTTATACTGATATTTTGTTAAAAAACTTATTCGAGGTAATAATTTCTGAATTCTGGTTTTCTTCACTACTTCTCTTGTCTTCTGTATTTTCCTTCTTATATAAGGCTTGAATTAGGTTTTCTTTTTTCAACTTTCTGCTATTTTCTTGCTTTATAATCTTGAGTTGTTTGTTATCTTTCATATATCTGTAGTTTTTATAAAGTTCTTTTTCTTCAAATAAAACTTTGTATCATTCGATCTCTTTCTTACTTATTTTATCTTTTAAAAACTCTAGTCCTTTATGACAATCAAAGCTAATAATTACCTAGGCATTTCCTCTAATGAAACACTCTTCTATCTTACTAATATAATTACTTTTATATAGTGTTTCTTCTATGAATTTAATCTGCTCTTCTTTTGTATTGCCTAGTAGTATTATTGACGTAATTTTTGTTTTATATTTTCCTATATTTTTATATATATTCTCATTAGAGGCCTATATACTATTTTCTAGAATATTTCCTTTTGGCTCTTTGTAGTTTGCTACTGCATGATTTATTTGCCTCTTCTAATACTCTTTTGTAAAGTTTATTTCTATTTGTGATATGTCTAAGGGAGCATCATCTGTATACTCTAAGATAATATCTTTTGTTCGAAGAGCTAGATCTTTAATTTCTATATTAAAAGCTATTTTGTTTCTTGTATATCTTGAGGTAATTCCTTTGCTAGCTTGTTAGAGATTATCTCAGGTTGTGAGTTTTAATTTCTACTTTTCTCTCATCTCCTAGCAAGATTTTGATAGTAGTTTTATTTTTGTTCACTTGTTTTCTATTTAAATATTCAAGCTTTTGTTCTAAGATTAATTTTGGGATAGTGACTTCTTTTCTTTTTTCTTTTGATTCTTGTGATATTTGGCTGATTTCTTCTGTTTTGGTCTTTATACTACTCTTTGCTTCTTCTTGTAGCTCTTCTATAGATTGCGAATTATCCTCTACTAATAGATTTTTGTTTTCTTTAAGTTCTACTATACTCTTTTTAGTCTTTTCTGCAATTATGAATTCTTGTTTAAGCTCTTCGAGTACTATATCAAGTAACTCTCTTCTTTCTTTGATAATTGTCTTCTTTATTATCCTATGCCAGTTTCTGGTTACTGAGATAATCTTAATACTTATTTCTGTAATTTTTGAAACATATACATTTATATTCTTTTGACTCTCATCTATGTTCTCTATTATACTGGTGAGCTTCTGAGGTTCTTCTTTTTTGAGTATTAATTTAAGACTTGTAATCTTCTTTTCCCTTGTTAGAAATCTCTCTTCCAACTATATTGTTTGGCTGTATTTTTTGTTTGCTAATATTTTAGTTAACCTTATCCTACTCTTACTACAAGTAACTTCAGCTTTTTATCAAAATTCCCTAGAATTTTTCCTGATTGCTTGTATTCTGTTCAATTTGAGCACTATATACTTCTCTTCTATTGGCTTATACATGATGCATTAGGTTAGTTATCTATTCACATGAAATTTGTTTACCTTGATTTGTAACTTTTGTATTATATTAAATAATCTGTGTGATAGGGTAAATTCAAATCCCTACTTTTCTCTAAAAATTTCTTTAACTTTTCTTTTGAAGTGAGTTTTCTTCTAGTTATTTTCAGAGCTTTCCAGATTTTCTTTACTAATATATGTAGTTTTAGATACTTTCTCTTTTTGCTTATTGCTACTTATGTTGTTTCTTAATACTATTTCTTAGAAAATTGTATTTTTGCTTTAGTTCAGAAAATGGTCCAAATGATCTACAGAGAGAGTATATTTAATTTTTGACTATACTAAAATTATTAAATTTTAAGAATAAAAAATATATAAATTAATTTTTATATAAAATTAATAGTTTTTTTTTATATAATAATCAAAATTTTGCTTTTAATAAAACTTTTTTAATTTTAATTAAAATTTATAAATTTTTTATATTATATATAGTTTAAAATAATATATTTTTTATTATAAATTTTAAAGTCTACTTAGTTTAAAAAAATTATACTTGTATATATTTTAAAAAAACTTAGATAATACAAACTATTCTATTTTAATTAGCTAATTAAGGTCTAGTGATCTAGTATAGTTGATAGATTATCAAACTACTATACAAAAGATCTAGAGTTCAAATCCTACTGTCAATAGAATTGAATAATTATCTAGACATCTGTACCCAACTTATAGTAAACTCTATTCATTTCTGAGGTTGTAACTCTGTAAATTATGTTGTACTAATATTGTTCAAACTTTAAAAGTATGCTAGAATATTAGAGTTATATTACATAAATAAATTGAGATAGGATCTATAGACAAAGGATCTGTATGGTAGAAATTCTAAGTTAGATAAAGTAGTATAAATTTTGATAGTTATACTAGTTAATACTTAATCTAACAAAAATTTCTGAGTATAAAGATGCAGATCAAATAGATACGAGTAAGTTTATAACATTGGATATTATAGCAACACCAACTTGGCTTAGTAGCTAACTAGATTAGAAAAATCTACCTTATGAAATATTTGAAAGAACATAGAAATCTAAACTAGTGAAAAGCCATAGCTAGAACTAGATTTGTATAAATATCGAATAAAGGTATATGCAAACTAGATTGAAATATAATATAGTATAGTTGAATATTATGACACCTATCTGTTAAAGGGTATTGAAGTAGAACTTATCTAGTTAAGACCTGAACTCATAATAGTAAAGTTTGCAACTAATGTCAGCTTGGATGCTTTCCAAAATAAAGTAATATAGGGTTATAGCTAACTATAAGAATAATATTTGCAATAAGTGAGATAAAGCCAGAGAGTTTAAATAGAGAATCTTCTAAGAGATTTCAGATATGACAACTAGTGTAGAACTTTCAAACAGACTATTTAAAATAAATAACCTAAAATTGTATATGTGGCTAATTGTATTCTCATAATATGTATTACTTCTGAAATTTATGAAATTAATAAAGTTAAGCTGATGATATTTGTATAAAGTAAAAAAAAAAAAAAAAAATTAGCTAATTTATATAAATTATAAATTAAACTTTATAGTAAAAAATAATACTTAATCTTAAAATTAATATATTTCAATAAATTTTATATTAATGTTAATAAATTTACTACTATTAGAATTACAAGAATATACTCTATAACTTTACTTAGAAGTATAAAAATATTTACTTAATAAAATATTTTGTAATATTAAAAAATAAAAAAAAATATTATTAAGTTTATATATAATTTTAAAATAATATTTTCTATCTTTAATTATTTGTTTTTTATATTAAAATTTCTTAATTACTTTCTAAAAACTTTTTGTATTATAAAAAAATTACTGTTTAGCAATTTGTTTCAAATACTATATTATTTAATCTTATATAAGTTTTTAAAAATTCTTTTAATATTAGACTATTTAGTAATTTTTTTTAGTTTTATTTGTATTTTTTTTTTTTTTTTTTTGAAAATAACTTTTTAAATAAATTAAGTAAATCGTAGTTCAAAGGTTAAAAAAATACCAATAAACAAAATCAGAATTTAATATAAAACTTTTTATAATATATAAATCTGACTAGATTACATTAGAGATTTAATTTATCTATTTATCTATCAGATATCCAAATCCGAATTTATCCGGATAATTATCCGGATATTTGTCGGATTATCCGTGATATCAATAGTAAATGTATATCCAGATAAATTTGGATATAGATGAATGGATAACAGATTTATCCGGATTGGAACTCTAGATTACATACAAAAGTATTTTTTTTTATTAAGTTAACCTTCTTTTAGCTTCTAATGAAAGTTGTAGAACTATGTTTTCTGATTCTAATGATAATAAAATCATCAAAATCAGTTCAGTAGATCCCGAGATATTAGTATTTTATTTTTTTACTATACGATTTTTACTACGTATTGCAAAAAACTTTTGGGATACCGCTTTTTACTATGAAATTTATACCCTTTAACTGCGGATTACCCCTTAATTATTGTTGCTTTTCTTAAAATAATAAAATATACAGTAATATTGTTAAATACTAATCACAATTAACAAGTTTACTGTATAATATTAGTATAATTATACTATAAATATAAAAAAAATTTTAGATAAAAAAATGCATGAACGGAGGTCATGTGATAAATCCGAATTCATTATAATGCACCATATTATAAATTGAAACTCAATTAGAAAAAGTCAATAAGAGTGCTGATAAATGAAGATATATTATCACCATAGTATCAAAGTATATATTCAGTGATCGTGTCATGGTTATGTCATTGTTTAAAGAAGCTTTTTTAGAGGCGTCATATCAGTAGTCACAAGATATAATTTAATAAATATAAATATGTTGTACATTTCAATATAAACTTATTAATCCACTTTCTCTGCTTAAAGCTAATAAAAATATGACGGAAACTTCAGATTTATTAAAAGCTATCCAGGATATTCAGTCTTCGTTAACCGTTTTGCCTGATATCCAAGTTCAAATAGCAAAGCTAACGGAAGCTATATCAACACTTTTGCCCCAAGAAGGAAAGGATAGAAATCCACCAAAAAGAGTAACTAATGGGATATCTGGTTTCCCTATGTCACCAACACTCACTCCTATGGTAGAAACGATGGGATCAATTAATGAACCTATTAATGATTTGTCAAATAAACAACTTTCTGAAAAGGACATAAAGATTATTAGTAATGAACATTCAGTTGAATCAGGTGATAAAAGTAAAAAAAGGATGTCCGTAGCTGAAAGAAAAAAGTCTAGAAGAGCGAGAAAAAAGCTGATCACTACTCAGAGCCAAGGAGAATCTTCGTCTAACGAGGCTGAAATTGAACAAAAATCTGCACCGGAGATCCAACCCAAAAAAATACAGGAGCAGGAACATGCGCTTATTCGGGAAGAGGTGATACCTACACAGCCCGAACCACAACAGCAGCCACCATCAAGAGCGCAGGCACGAAATAAAGTACGTACCTTTTTTTTTTTTTTTTTTTTTTTGCAAAAATCGGTTCGAATACTATGCTAATTTATCGTATATTTAAATAGATAAATAGAATAACTTACAGAAATGACAGCAGAGAGCAATCTGATAGAAGATTCGGAAATGTTTATCCACGTGAGACCTTGAAAGATAATTACAATTTATCAGTGTCCACTTTTGAAGAAATGAAATTGAGGCCAGAGCTATTAAGAGGAATTCGTGCACTGGGGTATGTTTTGAATTTTAAATCTATTATTGAAAATATAAGTACAGATCAATTTATACATTACCCGTTTTGGTAATGTCAGGTATGATCAACCAACTTCTATCCAGAAACGCGCGATCAAAGCGATCTTAACACGTCGTGACGTCATCATTCAGGTGCCTCGTTCTGAAGAACGAACTTTAACCTATTTGATCGGTCTTCTCCAGCATGTAGACCCACGTGATACGTCTTGCCAGGGAATTGTGCTTGTACATTCCAAAGATTTATGTTTTGCCATTCAGGATCTAATTGAAGAAATAACCAAACATAGACAAATTTCATGGTCTGTTTGTGTTGGCGGTTATCCCGTGAGGCAAGATGTTGAAAAGCTGAGAAGTGTCAGACAGCAAATAATAATTGGAACACCAGGTTCGTTTCGAATACAACTTTTCAATTATATATTGTTAGAAAGTTTATTTAATTCGTGACTTGCATTGATTTTTTTTACACGTGATTCAACTCAAGAAAGGCCGTTTAATCGATTTAATGGCAGAACGAAG